CAAAGTTCACACAAACCAGAATTATTTATGCCAGCTTCCACTAAGAACAGAAAATTTCACCACAGAAGGAAAAAAAAAATCTTTATTTTCCTATCTTTGACTCAAAATGTGTCATCCCTATAACATGGAACTGTTGCATTGCCAACTCTAGTGGCACTGTGGGATTTGGTCAAACATTGGACTTGATGATCTTAAAGATCTTTTCCAACTTTAATGATTCTATGATAGCCCCTCATGTTCTTTATCAACTTGAGGCAGAAGAGGCTATTCAAAGGGCACAACCCTCATTGTCACCTGACTTAGGAGAAAAAACTGTCCTCTTGATAATGCTCCTATGGATTATTTTATAATATTTGTGGGCAGCACCTGGAGAGCATGAGCAGATTATTTGCTTCTACTAGTTGTTTGCTGGGCTAATTTAAAATATTTTAATTTTTAAAAAAAAGTGATTTATTGCAGATTTCTGCATTTACATCACTAATGTAAATATGTAGCTAATTGCTTGACTGTATATGTTTATTAAATTTTGAGTTATTCCAGTTTATTGGTCATGGAATTTTACAACCATCGATAACCAGGGTTTTTTCAGGACTTAATTTTTTTCTTATAAATGCTACTCTCTCTCTGTATTTTTCCCTTGCTCAGTCACTGTTCAGGGTTGAGCTGCTGAAGGGTCTTAGCAAATCCCTGGCTGAGGGTGTGGAGCTTTGGAGCAGGGACTGACATGGGCAAGGAGTGCTTAGCTTGGACCTCTGCAAAACATAATTCCAGAAGATTTGGACCAGTAAATACCAGTTTAGAGCTGAAAACTGAAAGGTCTCTGGGTAGTTTTCCCATAAAAACCATTAATTTCTTTTTATATTTTGATAAATACTAATGTCTTTGGGGTCCTGCTGCTCCTGTGCCCACCCGTTTCTGGCTTTAACTTGCTGACTGACACAGCTCTGGTGGTTTGTACGGAGACTGTAGTTGATCTGGCTTCACTCCTTGGTCCATCAGAGCCTCTGGCTGGTCCTTACCCGCTGCCTGGTCTTTGCTGATTTGTCCAGGCTATGTCTTAAGGGATAAAGTAAGTGAGGGAGTAGTCGAGGAGAAATCTTGGGATATTTGGGATAGTACAGTGTTTGTTGGATTGGTGACCTATGCTGAGAGGTGGATAAATCAAA